AACTCTTGAAGTTTGCGGATGACACCACCCTCATTGGGCTAATCTCTGGTGGGGATGAGTCTGACTATAGGTGGGAAGCTGACAACCTGGTGACCTGGTGTAGCCAGAACAACTTAGAGCTAAATGCTCTAAAGACAGTTGAGATGGTTGTGGACTCCCCAGTCAAAATTGTAGAGTCCTTCCGCTTCCTGGGCACTTTTCTCTCCCGGGACCTCAAGTGGGAACTGAACATCAGCTCCCTCACCAAGAGAGCTCAACAGAGGATGTACTTTCTACGGCAGCTGAAGAAATTCAACCTGCCAAAGACAATGATGGTGCAATTCTATACAGCGATCATTGAATCCATCCTCACCTCCTCCATAACCGTCTGGTACGCTGCTGCCACTGCCAAGGACAAGAGCAGACTGCAGCGTATCATCCACACTGCTGAGAAGGTAATTGCCTGCAATCTACCAACCCTCGAGGACCTGCACTCGACAAGGACCATGAGGCGAGCGAGGAAGATTATGGCCGATTCCTCCCACCCTGGACACTCTCTGTTTCAGCTACTCCCCTCCGACAGAAGGCTTCGGTCCATCAGGACCAAAACCTCACGCCATAAAAACAGTTTCTTCCCATCTGCTGCTAGCCTGTTAAACAAGGCCAAGGGCTTACACTGGTTTTAACATTTTATCTACATAATGACACCTTGCCGATATTAACTATGTTAACCTATTTGTATTTTTTATTTTAAAATTATATCTTAAAGCTATTTTATATTCGATATTTATTCAATTTGATATACTTCAGCCCCTTGGTGTTTGTTAGACTTTTAACCCTTATTATTATAGTAAGACTTGTTTAAAACTTATTTAAGATTTTAGATTCCTATATGTTGAATGTATGCACCATCCTGCCAAAGTAAATTCCGTGTTGGTGTGAACTTTCATGGCGAATAAAACCCTTTCTGATTCTGATTCTGAAAGTCACGTTGAAGGGAAACAATACTGACAAGCAGGTCGTCTGGGGACAGGGAAATACCCGTGATTGTCGATACCAGGTGAGTAGAATTTTGTACCGCAGAGGTGGTTTTTCCAGTGAAATCATTTCTGATTCAACCACATTAAACAGTTCTCGTTGAAATCTTCTGCTGCCAGGCCACCAAGATTATACGGCTTACCAAAAATACATAAAGTAGATACACCCCTTCGTCCCATCGTCTCTACTATCAACTCCTCCACCTACAAACTGGCTCGTTTTCTGTCTGAAATCCTGTGGCCTTTCACTGGAAAAACCACCTCCGCAGTACAAAATTCTACTCACCTGGTATCGACAATCACGGTTGTTTCTCTGTTCCCAAACGACCTGCTTGTCAGTTTTGATGTAGTTTCCTTATTCACCAAAGTTCCTGTACCTGACACCATCGCAATCATTGAAGACTTGGTTCATCAAGGACTAAACACTGAGGTACCCCCCCCCCCCCCCTGGTGAGACACTGCTTAACCAATACATACTTAACTTGGAATGGAACTTTCTACAAACTGAGGGCACCCCAATGGGCTCTCCCCTATCTCCGGTTGTAGCCAACATTTTCATGGAGAAATTTGAGACTGATGCCATCCAGACTGCCACTCTGCGCCCAACCTTATGGAAGAGGTATGTGGAAGACACTTTTGTCATCTGGCCACATGGTTGGCCTGCTCTAGACCAATTTCTCGACCACATCAATTCCATACACCCAGCCATCAGATTTACCATGGAAGTCTAAAAAGATGGCAAGCTACCTTTTTTGGATGTCCTAATAAAAAAAGAGACCTGATGGTTCAATGAGCCACTGTCTACAGGAAAGCTACCCATACAGATGCTTAACTGAAACCGGATTCCCACCACCATCCATCCCAGAAGAATTCCCTCATCAAGGCTCTGCACCATAGAGCCCAATGCATATCCGACCAGGAACACATAGCCAGTGAACTCAACCACGTACACCAAGCTCTTAAGGCTAATGGTTATTTCGACTACACAATCCGCAAAGCTATCACTCCAACCATGAAGAAGGACCCTCTTGAGGAACCTTTCAATACCACCACTTTACCCTACATTGCGGGGATCACAAAAAAGATTGCAAAATTTTAAATAAATACAAGATCCAGGTCCGATGCAACACATTACATAAAATCCGTGATCTGGTTCCGTCTGTAAAAGATGTGATTCCGGACATACAGTACCCTGGCGTCTACAAACTAAGTTGCTTCTGTGGTAGTAGTTACATTGGAGAAACCAAACATGTCTCGGACCGCATTCGTGAACACAAAGCAGACCTAAAAGACGGTAGGACCAACACCTCGGCCGTGGCAGATCACTGTTATAATTCAGTAGGCTCACATGACATTGACTTCTCCAAGACAGAGGTTCTTTGCAAGCCATCTGGCTACCATGAAATATTCGTTCATGAGGCTTTCCACGTATACAAACACAGAGGCAATTTCAACTGAGAAGATGGATTCTGGCTTAGCAATCATTGGAAGGATTTAATAAACCATTTCGGGTCTTAATTGATTGTTAATGCTTACGGTGGCTTTCAGACCGCATCCATTATTTTCGTCTTCCCCCTCCTCTTTTCCAAACATAGATGGACTCGTCCATCTGAATAACTGCCAAATCACTCTCCGTGGTGCTAACGTTAAAAAAACGCCACTTTTTCAAATTTTCTTGCTGTGGTTTTCACACCTGATGATTGCTTGTGTTGCAGTCGAAACGTCGTGAGAATTTTATTGTTTTATATTTTTATTATTTTATTGTTTCCCTTCTACGTGACTTTACCGAAAGAACCAAGAATAAGTGTGAAGATGTTCAAAGACCAAATATATACTTTTTGCAAGGGATCAAGTCTGCATTAACCACACGTAATTGTGAACATGCACACAAAACATACTGTTTTATTTCCAGAAAGGGTAAAATCTATTCATATTTTTCATACTGGCAAAAGGTCCCATGGTATAGCTGCTCATCCCCAGCTATAAATTCTCTGACACGTGCATTGGCTTTGTACTGTTCGCCTTTTGCGTTTTCTGGTCTGACACTGGTGAGACGAGGCCATTAAGAAGCCTGCCTCTGGTGTAGGCCAGTTTCAAAGACAATGGCATATATGAGAGCATATTTTGTTTGCAAGTTCACAAGTACGTGGTTAATGCTGACTTAATACCTTCCAAAAGGTATCTATTTGGTGTTTGAACATCTTAGCACCTATTCTTTTGGTCTTTCGGTAAAGCCACGTAGATAAATAATAATACAAATATCACGTTTCGATCGCAACACAAGCAATCGGTCATCAGGTGAAAAATATAGCGGGAGAGCTGCTGAGGCAGGAAAAAATATAGCGGGAGAGCTGCTGAGGCAGGATGTTATATAGGTGTGAGATGGGTGTAGCCCAAGGGTAAGTGGGCGGGGCTAGAGATGGAATTTGCGTGTAAATGCAAGATCAGAAAGCTGATATACCTCCACTACGAAGCTGTGGAGGTGGCCATTGTATTGTGAGAGATTAGCATGTCAATGTAAGAAAACCATCGCAACGGTGGCTGTGTTAATAATGAGACATTTAGCCTGTTAATGTAAGATTAGCATGTCAATGTAATAAAACCGGGCACGCCACCGCCACATCGAGGACAACAAAGCTGTGGAGGTGGCCATTGCATTTTGAGAGATTAGCATGTCATTGTAAGAGAACCACCGCAACGGTGGCTGTGTTAGAGACATTTAGCCTGTTCAAAAACGAGAGCCACCGCCACATCGAGGGAAAGGAGCAGCGGTGGCACCTGTGTTATTCCCAGAAAAGGTAAAGCCAATTCTTATTTTTCAAGTTGAGGTAGTTAACATCTCGCCACCGTGGCGCGCACTAATCGTGTCTTATGAAGGACCATCACCCAAAACATTATCCTTTAGAGCAGTATTATCTACTTGGTGTTTTTTATGATTATGCACCACTGCTGTTTTAGTACTGTATTGCTAAATGTGATTAATATCTAACTTGTATAACACAAAACTAGTAAATCTTACTTGAAGTAAAAGTGAATATAGTCGAGTATTGTTTTGCCCAGTTATCTTGGAATTCTAAACACATTTTGAACAGTTTGCAGTATAATCAACGATTCACTGGCATTAGGCCATTAAATTGTGATTCTGACGCCAGTATGAATGCCTCCGCATATGCATAATCGCAACTCACAGTTTAGCTGTGCGGTACTAATTTTAGCTTGCCCTCTGGATTTCGTTTCACAAAAATAGGGCAACTCAAAACAGTATGTCTGTGCAACCCTCAAAAATAAGGCGTGCAACCCTCAAAAATAAGGCGTGCAACCCTCAAAAATAAGGCATGCACCGAGGCTAAAAGCAATGTTGGGATGCACAACACAGGTTTGGGACTGCAGTGTGCATGTAATGAGGTGGCGAGCACGTTTCGCCAAGTGTAACATGGCAAGTGTGAAAATGCATTATGCATCTCAGATCCTGCTCACCGCTTCATCCAGAAGCCCAACGTGTCCACCACCCACCTCCAGGGAAGTGACACAATCCAACCATGAGTTCAGAAACCATATTGACAATTAGCACACTTTACGTCAAAAGTAGACACCAATAACTAATGGAAATTTCCTCGTAGAAGTTCTTAGGTACAGTATTCTATTCATATAGTTATCGAAGCCAGTCACTAAAACTTTACGGACAAATGTAAATGTCTTATTTATGCCTATTATTTTTAAAATACTTTGTTGCAGATGTACTTCAAGATTGCAACAGACCGACCTGTGAGCTTTGCAAGTAGAATTCAGCAGTATTGTCATTATAGCCATAAGCATGACAAATTAATTTTCTCGCACAGTATTCATGTATTCAAGAACATGTAAGCACTGTACTATCTATGATACCAATGCTGCAATTTTTTTTTTATAAATATGAGCCAGCAGCAAATTATTCAAAACAATGCAATGAATTCACCAACATGAAAAAAATACAAAAAGATGTACCTTAATAAAAGCCAAATGTATTCAAATGATGTACAATATCAAGTTCATTCATCACCATAGCTACAATCAATTTCACTAAACCAGTTTAAAAATAGCAGAACTTGAAGAGGAGAGTACTGTTCTGTACAGAGGGGCTGTTGGTGCACAGGGCACGTGTGGTACAAAGCCCGGAGGCAACTCACAAACAAGCAGTGCAGCTCTGTTACCGACCGCATTGTAAGTTCAACTGATGTAATGGGCTATTTCACATGGTTTGGCATTTGGCAAGCAGCAAATAAACCCCAAGTGAATGGCAAAGTGGAAACAAAAATGTAAAAAAAATATGTACCTTGCTCCAGAGCAGTATTTACTGCAGCATTCAAGTATATTCATGTGCTTAAAGCACAAGCTTTTGAGGGGCTTTCTAGCAGTGCATTTGTGATGTTTAATGGAAATGTAGCATTTGCCATCCTTTTAGTGTCGAAGGCCTAAATCTGGCAACATTCATTCATTAATATGCAAATCACTTTAATGCATCGTTTGTACAGAAAATCATTTCCAATACTCATTTGAGTGTATATGTACTGTACTTCAAAAACACACCCTCAGTAGCTCATGTGTCGTGACCCCTTGTCATAAGTAGCATTGTTGCATTGCTTGTATAAAATTAATGCACTGCCTTGCTTGTGAACTGAAGGTCAGTTCACATCATACTGCAGAACATATATTTTTAAACTGCCTAATCTGGATGTTATGAGCCACGGATATATTTTTTCCTATAAAAGGAATCTTGTTTTCGTTAACATTATTTACGTTTGGTGGAATGTGGCTTTAGTACAGGGTACGCTAGAAAATGAATGAACCAATGAATGTGCTTAACATGGCATGAATTAAAATAAACTTAACACAAAGGTGAAAGATCATTGTTGTTTGTGACTTCTTGACCAAGTGCAGAAATGCATGTCGTAAATGTGTAGTTGAAAAGCTTTGCTTGTGCAGAACAAACTTGCAAAAGTTACAGTATACTGTACTACCTTACGTGTACAAATATTTCACTGCGTGCAAGATTTTTGCATCCCTATCTCTCGTACAGTTTTATATTTTAAATTGTGGAGGCCTGAGTTCACTTTTGCGTAAACATCAGCAGTGGCGTGCAGGTGTACGCGTGTGCCCAGTGTGTGTACACTGGCTGTGCATGTCTCGCTGCCAGCAAGACCACGCAGCAGCCTTCATCTCTTGCTGCCACGCCGAGGGTCACGGCCATTGCTCAATCCAGGTCCAGGCAGCGCCGGCAACCCTACGGCACCGGGTGGAGCCAACAACCCACCCCGGCCATTTCCCCGGCCCCCCGCAGTGTGTGCCGGGAGAGCAGGCGGCTGCATGGTGGAGCTATAGCCTGGAGGTGGCGCTCCAGAACCCAAAACTGGCATTGCTTGTGAACCATTGCCTGGCAAAGAAACAGCACACATTTCCATAAAGATATCACCAGGGGTGGTGCATTCATCCAACATGTATACCTATTATTAAAAGTAGTTTACCAAATGCCTGCCTGGAGCAGTTCATTTGTAATCAACCTATCGTGCATCACACAGCATGTTTTTCCCTTTAACTAGAAATTTTATTTTTATCTGTGAAATAGCAACTAGTCTGGAAATGTAACCTGCCATGGCAGAACTCCATTCAAAAGTAATTCCACAGAGGCTGGTAAAGCAATGAAATTCATCAGTGTTCTAAATTTACCAAGCAATGTTAACGGATGTGGAAGCCGATACCGATACCAGTAACATTAACATTTTCAAACGTACACTTCTAGGACAGACACACAGGTCAGGTTATTCAGTGTAATGCAGTCACCACTAATTACATACGTGACATCAAACAAGGAAGCATTCACTGCATATCTAAAAGGCGCTTTAAGTGTGAATTTTAACTACACAAACCAAAATCCAAAACCAAGCTACGGCGGCAAAACAGCACACACATTTCACAAGACAAATTTCTTTAAAAGTAAACAAAATTCCATACAGTAAAACAATTTCGAAACCATGTGTAATATCATAAACTTGTCATTTTATGAAGCTTTACTAAACACAGGGTACAATGGTGTTGGTTTTGGAGTGAGCACAATCTCTGTAAATGTGGATGGATTATTGTTTAATTTCTGCACCTTTTGTTAAAATAAACCCAAGTCTGCTTAATTAGGTTGAGCCTGAAATCGAAATTTAGGTTGAGCCTGAAATCGAAATTTAGGTTGAGCCTGCTTGCACTTCTACCAATGTTTTTTTTCTATGAGGCACTCGGATTTCACAAATATCAACACTCATGAGCGAATCAACCCCCATTTACACTTAAGTCTGCTCATGGCCAAAAAAACATGAATTTATATTGAATTGTAACATGCCATTCATCGAAGTAGTATGACAATTGTTTAATGATTTTCACAAATAAACATCAAGATGCCAATATATTTTAGGTCTATATGCTAGACCCATATATATTTTGATGGCTAACAGCCTGTTCAAATGTATTTCCTGGTTTAAGTGTAATACAATTATAGCACATCTTAATAAAAAAAAGCTAATCCAACATTAGCTGTGCAGAGGAAAAAAGACATGACCAGAATTGCTGCTGGAAATGCAATCACGTGGCCTGAAACAATAGAGGTCAATCCTCTACCACGCCAAGCACTGCCACTGTCAAAGATATGCTGAGCTGTTTGACAGCCCCTCACTGAGTGCACACACCTGCTGGGTTTGCTTGTCCAGCTCCAAGCTGACTGGTGGGAGAGTTGCTCCTGGAATCTCCCTGACAACATGGCAAAAAAAAACATCATCAGTGGTGTTCATTATCAATCACTGGCTACGCTTATAATATATATGTTAAAAGTGGCCACCTTACCGTTTTACCCTGGTTCATGAAATCAGGGTTTGGTTCACTAAAGTTTGGAACTTCTGAGAATGCCATGCAGAATCTGGAAATCGTGAGATACAAACCAAATAGAGATAATTAATATTCTGGAGACACAGATTTAAACGTGCTAATAAATACCATTGCAGTATTTTGCCAACTACGGTGTTTATAACTGATACATATGTTGCACGAAGATGTTGCACTTACTCTCCAATCTTCTGCAGGTCTCCTCCACGGCCTGTGTACAATGTTAGGCAGCCCTTCCACATGGTGGCATATCTGTACTCAGTCACACAAATCAAATATGAAACAATAAGCTATTTTCATTCAAAGGTATTTTTTTCCAGCCATGTCTAAAAACATAACTATCCCCTGTTCAATACCCCACGTAAGTATTGCTAAGAACAGTTGCTTGAATGGACACTCAACTTAGTTGAACATGTCTTGGTTTAAATTTTTATTTAAAGCTTTCGTGACTGCAGTAATTCATATTCATATTTTATTGTTTCCCTTCAACGTGACTTTATCGAAAGAGCTAAGAATATGTCTTGGTTTATTGAGTGAACACTTTGCCAATTTCTTCAAGGATCGTTCACTACATTACATAAATATAAATGTGTCGTTAAATCCGGCACCACCTGACACGGCCAATTAGTAGGTTTGTCACGTAAACAGAACATGCCAATTCGTTACTAGTACAACACACCAGTGTGTTGGAGAGTAAATCCACAACCTCCACCTCCTGGACGTGTATCACCCGCAAATGCGCAGGCAGTGCAAGTGGTATTAAATATTTACATATTTGCAGTGGTTGGTTAGATAATTGTTGCTGAAATTTAGCTCTGGAAGGCACCCACGAGTGACCTATAGCACCATGGATGTTCATTTCATATTAATTTATAACTTAAATTGAGGGAATCACAGAAAACGACTACAATATTGTTAACTACGCCCATGTACACACTGTACAACCACTTGCTCTTTGCAAGAATTCCTCAAAGCGGACAGCAGGATTTCATTAATCCTCTGGCATGTGGTCCTAACGTATTCCACGTGTGTGCAGTTGGGTCGTATTTTGCACTCGTGCCATGCCGACGAGTCACTGATGAAGGATACTCTCACGCAAGTCGACCATTACATTAGGACTCATGTTAGTCAGTCGATGCTGCCACCTTCTGCCGGGGAGAGAATTTGCAGAATAAATATCGGGCATTTAGCCAATGGTTTGGATTGGTGATCGTTCGAAGTCCATCCTGGTAAGAAATAATTTAAAAAATGTTCAGTGGGCTAACCAAATTATTTCGCTCACATTTTTAAAAGTTACTTGCACTTTAGTTGTTGGTATCATTCAGGGAGACCATTATTGTATTTTTACACCTCGACAGTTATGCCTCATTGCTATTAATAATTACGATTAATAGAAGATTTGGCCAACACGACTACTTTTAGTGCATATTACAAACTCGGGTTAGCATTGCAGATTCAGTCAAGTTTCACAATTATGATTCATGCTTGATTTAAAAATGGTTTACAGAAATACTCAGTTAAAGATAATTTTGTATGCAAGCTAGAAGACCACAACAAAATTATTTACACAACAATGCATGTTATTTTTCCTCAAGGGGTTTTAATTCGACTCTTCTTCTTTGCCATTCAGCCAACTACATGACCGGAGGATGTATCCATATGATTCAGGAATTTAACTCGTGAATGTCAAATAAAAACACTCATAAGTGCTGGGTGTATGGGCACATGCATCCAAATCTGCTATAGAGGTGTTAAGGCAGATGTGGCCACGGGTTTCAGCATGTGCAACTGGAATTATTTTTGACGTTCACGAGTGGAACAAAGACGTGCCAGCTCAAGATTTTATGTGCCGCCCGACTTATCCAAGTGATTTACTGTGCATTTCATGGCCATGCTCCAGTTTAAAAGGCTCCACATGTGCATATCATTGTGAAGCCCTTCTTGTTTCTTGGTGCTGAGCAGGGACAAGTCCTGGTGGGTTCCAGCGAAAGAAAGCGTTCACATGGAAGGGAAAGTGGCATCGACGCATGGGTTGGGGCAGGGGTTGGAAACCTGCGGCTCCGGAGCCGCATGTGGCTTTTTAAGGACTGCTTCGTGATGTTATTTATTAAGGACCATCTCGTATTCACATGCTTGTGGCTCTTGAAATATTTCGTTTTTGTTTACCGAATTCGAAAAAAAATTGCTCTTTTTATTTTGGTTACCAACCCCTGGGTTGGGATATTTGAGTAAGGGACCTACAGGGATTGCACATAGTTAGCAGGCTGCACTTTATTACTGGGTATCCAATTTACTTGATTGCTAGATTAAATGCTGTTAATTCGAGTTAAAAGGTTTTGGAAGATTAATTTGAAAAGCTATTTAAGTGGTCTTAATTTAACATAAATTTATGGAACCCCACTCGTAATCTCCACATGGTGGAACAGCGTACCCAATCTCCCACCTTCCATAAACTCAGCAGCACAATGTTCAGAACTTGCCCACGGGAGTTTTTGTACCCCCCCCACCGCCCTGCGTCGCGATGTGTGCTCTGTACTGGGCTCCTACTGAAATATATTTTTAACATTTAAAAACAATTCATGTATGGTCTCAATAGGCTCTTACTTGCTTATAACTAAAATGATATAGTGTAAGATATTCGAATAATGGGGGATTTGCGATATGCTAACTTCCGATTCCATGTCAGTGCAAACATTAGTGGCGACTTCACCAATCTCCGCTGACTAGCATGATGTATGGACACAGCTTCCCCATGGCTGATACAGCCTTCATCCAGCAGTGGATTGCCAAACCGACAAAAAGGGAGCCTTATTTTTAATTCTGCTTGTATCTTTTTACGATATGTGGTGGAACTGGCATGATCTTATCCTGGTCCGTTTAAATTACTGTTGGGCCACAGATGTTCAAGGCTGCGTGTTTCTAGGGCGTGTGGGTGGCACATTGGAGGGTGTCCCACGTGAGCCATGTGCTGCTCGCCGAGTGTTGTGAACCACGTACCCCCGTGTGAGCCGCAGGATATCGCCCCCCTGGATGAGTGCCCCAATGTCGTCCCACACGGACACGGTCATGCTCCCCGTCTTGTCGGCCACCTTGCAAGACCGCACCTCGTGTCCATCCTTGGTCTTGGTCACTCTCCCTTCACGCGTCATTTCAGAACATTACATCAAACATCACCCCACGCTGAGCCAAATGTGCAACCTTTACACAAGCGGTGCTAAATCATGCTGCCATCCCTGCCCGTGGACTAGGCAGAACATTCATGCGAGTTCTGACAAATAGGAAGCCCATAACAAAAAGGTAACAAAATGTCCAATGTATCCATTTCCCTACAAAATATTCCAAGTTGATATGGAACGACCAGTGGCGGGTATCACCCACGATTATTCCATTAACACTGCAATTACCACTTTTTTTTTTACATTTTACCATTAAAAACATTGCCACAAGGCTCGCCTGCTTCATCCACCACCACCTTGCATTCATTTGTTTTAACGCCATAATGGCGCACGTGTTCAACTCTGCTTTCGGTCAACTTACCTATTTCCAGGACTATGAATACCACGTTAAGGTTTTTAAGTCCTGCCTTGATGTCTTTAATGAACACAAAAGACTCGCTATTGGCCATTCCGCCTCCGCTATGAACTTTGGCGGGACCCGTGGGGACCCCCTGGGCTGTGCGGGCAGGGTTAGAGGTGGGTCGGGCGGGCGGGATTGGGCTCGGCTCCAAAGAGCTCACTGCGTGGCCGCTAGGGGGCACCCGGGGCACATGCCCGAGCCAGTGCCCGCCCTGCCTTGCCCTAGTCGCCCTGCCCTGCCGGGCTTCACAGTCCTGCCTTGATGTTGTGTCCTAACCCCCACCCCGTTCCTGGCTACAGCGCGGGGCGGCCAAACCACACTCGAGGCATCCCCCCCCGCGTCGACTGCACCTCCACCGCAACGGGGTGGGGAACGAAAATAAAATACTACTGTAGTAGAAAATCGTAACAATGATGGTACGGAAGATACAGCCAGTGGGCGTCTGTTTTGTCCGTTCACTGGACGAGGCGGCGGCCTCGAGCGAGATGCTCGTTAATTAACAATGGGTAGACGTGGGTTAATGTTGTGGGTTGGGAACAGCGACGAACCGCGCGCTGCCACTGTCGCTCTGACTGGCGGCGGAGTGAGGGGAGCACGCGGCGCCGCGCAAGACCCCTCCCCCCCCACACTCCAGGTCGCCAGGCCACGCCCCACGCGCGTGACGACACACTTTCGGTTTTTTTAATTGTATTAAATCCTATTTTTGTATTCGTATCATTCACGAAAAAAAACACCCGCGTTTAAAGTTGCGAATGAAACCACGCGAATGTTGACAAAAAAAATTAACGCTCGATAATGTGTTTGCCATTTGCGTGCGTGATGTCACTACTGTTGTTCTCATCGCGTTGGCTCTACATTCATTGGTCAGTGTTTGTGATCACGTGATTGTGTCCGGGTGGTGGTGGGTTTTTTTTTCTCGGAACACCCCCTCGCGCTTGTGGCCGGGACACGTGACGCTAAGGGCGCGGGGGGGGGGGCGAGCTGCAGGAGAGAGACACGTGACGCGAGGGTGGGGCTATGGGTGAGAGACACGTGACGCTAAGGGCGCGGGAGGGGGGCGAGCTGCACGAGAGAGACACGTGACGCGAGGGTGGGGCTATGGGTGAGAGACACGTGACGCTAAGGGCGCGGGAGGGGGGACGCGAGGGGCTTGGCGGGGGTAGGGCTGTAGTAGAGAGACACGTGACGCGAGGGGGGGGGCTATGGGTGAGAGACACGTGACGCTAAGGGCGCGGGTGGGGCAGGGTGTAACAGACACGTGGTGATGCGAGGAGCGGTGGCGCAGTGGTTAGCGCGCTGCGCTTCAACACCAGTGACGATTATCTGAACCGGTCCTGTGCCTCCTCTAGGTCGACTCAGCCTCAAATGAGTACCGGGTGCGGTGTGTAAACATCGCCTTTAGGTAGACAAAGGCGGTAGGGCGTGGTGCTGGCCATCACCACACCCCCTTGTGTGCCGTGCCGGACTTGGTGGTCGCTCAGGGCACTCTCCACGAACAGTCGGTTAAGGCGACACAGGGGGGGCAGAGTCAACGTGGCAGGAGATTGGTGCGCCTGTGGAAATTATGGGTTGTATGTGCGATAAAAAAAAGTCTTGTCGGCGATAACCCGCCGACAAGACTTTGATTCCCGCGCACAGCCAACACCGGTGACGAATATTTAAATCAGTCCTGGGCCTCTCCTAGGTCGACCCAGCCTCAACTGATGAGTACCTAAATTTTGATTTAAAGCTTTCGGGACTGCAGGGATTCATATTCTTGATTCTTTCGGTAAAGTCACCACGTAGAAGGGAAACAATAAAATAATAAAAATATAAAACGATAAAATTCTCACGACGTTTCGACTGCAACACAAGCAATCATCATCAGGTGTGAAAACCACAGCAAGAAAATGTTGATGATTGTGTTGCAGTCGAAACGTGAGAATTTTATTGTTTTATATTTTTATTATTTTATTGTTTCCCTTCTACGTGACTTTACCGAAAGAACCAAGAATATGAAGAGTACCTGATGCGGCGTGTAAACATAGCCACGAAGAAGAAGAAAACGTAGATTTTTGTATCGTTCTGGGGTTCATTGGTGCTCGCCAACAGCACTTGGCCCCAAGTCTGTTACGGCGATGTGTGAATCCATACTCTTTGGTTCGTTCGGTAAAGTCACGTAGGTATAAAATAAATCACGACGTTTCGGGCGCAACACAAGCGTCCGTCGTCAGGTGGGAAAGCGATGGCCTGTTGCTGAGGCAAGACTGTTTTAAAAGGTTTGAAATTGGTGTAGCCCAAGGGTCTTAAACAAGTGGTCGGGCTAGTGATGTTAATGTGAGAAATTAGCGTGTAACTGTAAGATAGGAGAGCCACCTCCTCGACTAGGGCACGGAAGTGGCTACGTGAATGTGAGAGATTAGCATGTTAATGTGAAATCGAAGAGTGGCTCTCTTTTCCCCTCTGTACCATCCTACAAAAAAACAACATTTATTTCACCCATGACTAATGTGTAAGAGATTCTCGCAACATTTTTCATATATTATATTTTCAATAACATTGAAAATTGTAAAACGTTTAAAAATTGGAAAACTTTTTACAATTTGAATTTTTTTTTACAAATTTTATAATGTAAAATTCTGAGCAAAAATTGTCCATCTTACCTTCCAGAGGTTTTTTTTGCATTGCTTGCAGGCAGGGGCGGAGCTAGGATTTTGACTTTGGGGGGGCTGACTTCAATATTCTGAGATATCCAGTGTAAGGTTTCCAATGGGCGCCACAAATGTATAAACACATTTTATTGGATTTGAACGCGGAGTTTATTAATAGGTCGGAGCCGCTGATGTGGCTAATAAGTTCGATAAGTTCGAAAGGCTGCCGCTCAAGCAGCCTGCAGGGCAGCACAAGGTGGCAGCCTGCAGCATTTTGCAGCAGCCGGATATCCGGTTATCCCGATTACCGACTTTCTCAAAATTTTAGGGGGGACTAAGCCCCCCCAGCCCCCCATGTAGCTCCGCCCCTGCTCACAGGTGAAATGAGGTGCCCAGGGTTTGTCTTGATCCCGGACAGGCATGCTGAAATATGCCTTGTAGGCCTCGCACATCTTAGCAGATGCTTCCACAGAGTACTTTTCCGCTCTTGTCTTGATAAATTGGCCGCAGACATAGCAAAATGCGTCTGCCAGATGCTTGCAGCCTCTTGATTCCATCTCAGAAAAATGCAGATATGTATCCACTTGGGCAACTGGAACTAAACTGAACTGGCAGGCTTAAGGCCCCTGTATTTATACTATTTATATTACTGGAAAGTTCTAGAATGTTCTAGAAGTTGCTCCAAGTTTACTCAGCACTGAATCTATCTGGAACGTTCTGGAAAATATGTAAATTTCAAAATATCACTGTCCTCGTCACAAAAGCAAAGTTTGTTGGGAATAATAGCCATTTTCTGTACTTTTGAGGAATAAGCACTTAGGAAATAACACTACCCAGGAACAATAAATAATTGTTACACCACTGTTATTAACTCCATCCGCATTTTCTGTATAACCGTCGCAACGATCAAGAGAAATTCGGACGTGTCGTTCAAGATTGACCCTTGCCCCCCACACCCGCCCCTCGTGAGTCCGCTGTCCCCCCAAGCCACATTGTCTTATCGCAGCCAACCTAACCTGTAATTTGTATTGCACGCCTGGCGTGATAAGCACCGTTGATACACTTTCGGGACACCAGTTTGACCCAACACCATACGTTTTAATACTTCAGTGATGTCACTAGATCACTATTGACACCACTTACACAGCTTTATATTCATGTACAACAACCCGGAACACAGCCCGGGTGTATATCAATCTAAATAGCCTTCCTTTGAAAAAAAAAAAAGCTCTTATTTGAAGTTCACAATGGTCCTGCAATCAATAAGCTATGGACAGAATTGCCCCGCCACATTAACATTGTATTTTTGTCACTGTGGGTCAAGACCGGCAGCTAAGACTGGGTTTCATATTAACTTTTTTAAGATACCGTAATCGCGATTTGTAAGTGCAATTCAACATCTGTTTTCCATGTTGTCACGCGGGGGTGATGAAAGTTAAACTATAACCCCGCTCTGATAACTAACACGATAGGTAACCGTACTGCATTCTAGGTAATCAACCGGGCTGGCCAGATTCAATACAGGAGACGCTTTAATATTTCGGGGGTTACGTTCTTGTAAAGTGGCACGAAAGCGAAAATCGCGATATTCCATACTTAAACCTCACCTAAATAATGCGGTTAGGGACATGCTCAAACATATACACAACATAATTGAAATAACTCTTTATTGCAACCATACTCTGTGGGTGCCTCTTTAAAGCTTTCCAACTCGGAATGAAACATGCACTGCAGAGCTCTATCCATCTGCCTTTCCCGAAAGGGGAGTCATGATAACTTTTGTTAAGATCTATTATATGATCCAATATACGTGAAATGTACTGCAAAGTTGTGTTTCTTGTCGGGACTTACCTTGTGAACAACCGAGTACATGTATGAAAGGAACAACCAAAAACTCGGTGATAAATTAGCAAACCAGCATTACATTTTAATCCTTCCAATGGAGAGGATTTAACATCTCGAGGCGTCATCTTGTTATCGAACGCTGGCATTATTCATCACACTGGCGTTATTCATCATCAGCCATGATCACATTCATTTCTGATGAAGACCTCTCAAAGTGGCTGTCTCACGGTCCTACGAATTAACGATTCATCTAATTGCCACACATGAGCTTACTTCATCACTCTATCCCCTCAGTAGACGTAATATCATGTGTTTTATTCCTTGTGTAATGAGAGAGCGCCACCTAATGGACGACGAGGGGTTGCATAGTGACTGCTGGGTTACTTATATCCAATCAGAAGGAAGAGTTCCATCTGGGCCAAAGGTAACGGGCGGAGCTCATGGGTATGTACGGGAACCATCTGGAAGGTTCCACGAGGGGCGTGGCTAGAGGCGGAGCATAGCTCCGCCGAGAGCAATGTAAGGAGAGGCAGTTAGAGGACTCTTGGTCAGTGTGGGAAGCCTGGAGTCTGGACTGCATCATCGCCTACCTCTTCTCGCCACAGGCTCTGCCAGGGAAGCCCGATCTCTTCCCAGCGTGGCGCCAGCCAGCGGCGAGTGTGGAGAGAGAGAGAGACACGCCGCAACGGTGGACGAGGGAGTGCGCGCGTTACGGCAAGGAGAGAGAGAGCGAAGCCATCCGGAGGGAGAGAGAGCGGAGCTGTGGAGTCATTGTTAAATAAAGAAAAGTCAACAGTCGTCATGGAAGTACTTTATTACAACTGGAGTCAGAAGTGGTTCTTTTTGAGACCAGAAAATACAACGGAAAGCGAGAATGTCCAAGCCTTTTAAGAACCGATGACGACGACGCAGTGACCCAGCACCTGCCGACCCCGGGATCCGTGGTCCCAGTTACAGGAACCTCGGCTGGTGAAGTCACCGCGTCAGGAATGGACGGCGCAGCGGCGGCATCTTTGTCTCAACAGGCGGACGACGGCTGGAAGCGCGTTGAGGAGCAGCTGGACTCGCTCCGGACGGTGCTTCTCCAGCTGGTGTCGCTTGTTGCGTCGTCTGCGGTGACGGGCGCCCACAGGAAGGGTTACTGAGGGGTGACGAGCAGAGGCTTCGGGATGGAACCTCGGAGGGTCCCCCTGCGGAATTGACGGCCACCATTGCAGGCGCGGGAAAACTGTCCGCCATTACGTACCCTACGGACACCACGCGGCAGGACGCCGCCATCTTGGGCGACGCTGTTGGGGGCAGTTGGAGTCCGCCATTTCTGTGGAGCTGCGTGGTGCGTAGCCAGAGGAGGCTGCTGTTATCGGACGAAACGGAGCTGGACGCAGCCACCGTCTTCCTCAAGTCAAGGAATTCGTCGCTGCGGGCGGCGATTGGAGTGCTTTCACGTGGCGCTTTGAGGCGGCATTCCGTTCCGTGCACTGGTTGGAGGAGGAATGCTTGGTTGCTTTGCCGACCGTTCTAGATGATGATGCGCTGGCGGTATTTCGATCGATTCCTCCGGAAAAATAGATGACGCTGAAAGATGTGTACGCAGAAATGGCAGAGGTCTACAAACCGCCTTCCGATACTCAACAAAAGTTTATGCAGTGTAGGCGGGGGAGTTACAAATCCCCCCTTGCCTAACGCAGTGCTTTAATGGCACTGGCGGTGGCTGCCTACCCCGATGTCAAGCAAGAACTCCTCGACCCGCTGATTTTGGGAAAAATGTTGGCTTTGGTTCTGCCAGTTTGCGGTCACGTGCTGCTGACGTCCTGATGGGCTTTCCAGATGCCTGAATGCGCACGACAACCTACAACGTTGGACACAGATGGCTGCATGGACAGGGGATCCAGTTTGCGACTGTGAGCCCAAGGGTTGGTCGCTAACTAAGGTCGTCCATGTTCCGGACGATACGCCGGTGGGAAGTGATCTGGCGGCAGCTGTTCCTCGTTGGGATCTACGTCGGGGCCACAACCAACGTCGAAGACGGGCCGACTAAACGTTATTGTTCTTACCTGTGTTCGGTATTCGCTTGATTACTTGTTGCATTCATTGTTGTTCATACTCTCTTTTTGTGTGTGTTCCCTGCTTCTCGTCGACTCCTGCATTGTGTCGCTCGTCATTACTAGTGCTGACTTCGTTCCTTTTCATCATGGGGGGGGGGACGACGACGACGAGGGGTTGCATAGTCACTGCTGGGTTCATTATATCCAATCAGAAGGAAGGGTTCCATCTGGGCCAAAGGTAACGGGCGGAGCTCGTGGGTATGTACGGGAACCATCTGGAAGGTTCCACGAGGGGCGTGGCTAGAGGCGGAGCACAGCTCCGCCGAGAGCAATGTAAGGAGTGGCAGTGTGAGGACTCTTGGTTGGTGTGGGAAGCCTGGAGTCTGGACTGCATCATCGCCTACCTCTTCTCGCCACCGTCCACGTGGCGGGCTCTGCCAGCGAAGCCCGATCTCTTCCCAGCGCGCCGCGAGGCAGCGGCGAGTGTGGAGAGGGAGACGCGCCGTGCGCGCGTTACGGCAAGGAGAGAGAGAGCGAAGCCATCCGAAGAGAGAGAGAGCAGAGCTGTGCAGTCATTGTTAAATAAAAGACTCAAGTCAACAGTCATCGTGGAAGTGCTTTATTACACTTGGTTGCAATTCCCGTGTTTGTTCTCTTATTTTTACAGACATTTTCTACCCAAGCACTTTTCTTAAGTCAATATGTGATGTCATTAACGTGCATATATAATCCTTAAAAATTCGGTACTTCTGAGGACAAATACATATTTTGTAATTTGAAAGCGAATTTCTTCTAAATAGAAAACTAATTTATTTAGAACTGCTTTTTGTGTTTAGTTTGTCCTTCTCCCATACCTCCGATGAGCACGGTTAACTACGTACAGTGCGAAGAAGTCCAACATTGTACATACATACGAATTGGAAATATTTCCTTGTACTGTAATTAAGGAGTTTCGTTCGATTGCACCCAGGTGGGACGGGATAATTGTGAACACGCAATATTGCAACAAAGTTGACTAAGACTGTTCTGACATCATGCTATTTTTTTTTGGAAGATCTAACGACGAGAGGATTGGGTGCTGCCTGATCCGTGGAAGTACTCTACGGTAGTTCCCATTTTTTTACGGTCATACTTCCCCTAATTACCACGAAATGACTCCAGCACTTCCCGGTGGTTCTTGACTAAAAGCACGTGGCCGATAAAAAGACAAAGATCCCCTGTATAGCCTCAGTAGACTTTGGGGAAAGTGCTGTTACCGCTCCACACACAGGCGTGGTAGCTAGGCAACGTGCTTCCAGCGATGTGTCACGTGTGGCTCCCCAGGGCCACGAGGTTAAAGAATCATGTTCCCGAGCAACAACCTGTTGTTATCACTCAAAAGTCTGCTCAGGCTACCTAACACCCTAAAAAAAAATCTTTATTATGGATAATATGAATCGTGAAAGTGAACGTGTTAAACTATACGGGGGGGTCTTTGATAGGCCACATGCGGTTCGCGTGGCTTCCGAGGGCCACACGTTAAATAACCAGAATGAGGTCCTGGAGTCACATTATTTTCTAGGAAAACCTGGGTTTAAATATAATTATTTTTTCACGTGTTAATTTAATTTATGTCCATAATTTTTACGTAATACAAAACATATGTAAAACATCCATCCTGCAATTCACCAAAAAATGTACAGCCATTGTCAATCTACTTGGTTATACACGTTGTTTGACTATACTTCACGACGCTGGTCAGTGCGAATTGGTGGAGAGGACCTAGGATCGGTTGATACTTCACTTACCACTGACGTGTGGCAAAGAATGTAACTTAGGATGCCGAGTCATTGGTGCCAACTGCTCCTGCCCTGACTGCTCAGGGAATTTGTATATTTTTATTTATACGCTTTTATTTAACTCTGTTGTTGTATCCTCAAATCTTGTAACTCAATTTTAACCCATTTCCCAATGTGGTATCGACTGCAAACTTGGTATACTTATGTCATACTGATGACAATACTATGTTCTATCATAAAAATATATATTTTGAAACATTTTTTATGTTATATTTCGGCTTGGGTGTAATTGTCCACGGTCAACAGACGTTGGCTGTCAATCACCACGGTCCCTTACGTTGTGGCAAGCTTCGGGGCCACTCCCTGGAGTCGTGGAGTACATTTAATTAAAGCGTGTTTTTAAAAAAGTTTTGTTTAATATTACTAATTTACCATAACAATGTATCAGTGGCATATGGGAAGAAACCACACTGCAGAATCCATATAAAGCACAACACTCCACGCCCGATACAAGAATTCATTTCTGTACTGCTGTCGTCTTCCTGGCCGTCTTTTGCAATCCGAGCTTACGACACCAGGATTTATGAATCACATCACTCAACATTACAACTGCACATAACCTACGCAGCAGAATCCCAAACTCACAAACATGTTTCACATGACTTACATACTGACCTGGCTATGCTTTTTAAACTGGATTTGTTCAGGGTGTGAATTTGCAATAAGCAAAAATCCATTCGCTGAAATGTCACCATTAGATTATTTCAGGCAAGGCCGCAGCCATGGAGTCAACATTTGGGGGGGACCAAATCTTCCAGGGTGTCTGGGGGTCCCAACCCAGAAAAATATCTAAATTTAAAAATTAATTTCCTGCCTAAAATATTTTTAAAAAGTCACTAACACATGGGATGGACTTTTCATTTATTTTTTACAATAATGTCTAATAGTGTATTGTATTTACATTGCTCTGTTTTTACTTTTTAACCATTTCTTGTTCCATTGGATGTAACAAATCTATGCATTGATTTATATGAAGACAAGTCCAGATATTGTGGCCAAGGTTTAGCAAATTAATGTTTTTATTTACATTTGCATAGAAATTCTTTTTTTATAGCAATATATTGGGGGGGACATTTTGAGCATATTTGAATATAATGGGGAGGGGACACATCCCCCCCAATATATTATAATTACGGCCTTGATTTCAGGAATATACTCTACAGCACTGTCATCTGGATAACTCAAAATACATTCGCGTTGTGGAATAATACCTTACAGCGTATACATTTTTTACTATTTTTATTTTACCAGGTAAGGTCCACTCAACTTTATATCGCTCTTTTTGAAAAGCCGACCTGGCCACAAATGACAGCTCAATGAAGTGGCTTACGTGGACATTTCTAGCAGCCGAATACTCTAAATACATTCGATTAGCAGATAATGTTACCATATAAAATATTAAGTAATTCTAACAACCCATCGGACCCACGACCTTCAGTGATTCAAAGAATGCAACCCAATGGACCGGTTGCGACATCTGTGTTAATCTATCTTGCATAACAGGGCACACCTATACTAAAACAAAGTTGACCAGTGCAGGATGGCAAGAAAAAAATCACATTCATTTCAAACAAATGTTATCTTCTTTTCGTGGTGAGCAACGCAATGAAAAACGAATGATGCATGTCACAACAGTTGCGCAAGGTGCTTTGTTGACCTGAGAGCTATCTGGGTTGTGAGTCACCAGGCACGAGGTCCCCAGGGGTGTGGAAAAAGACGCACGCGTTGATGTCGTCAGAAGACGCGTCGTGTGTATAATCAGTCGCGAACCCTATACTCTACAGAGGACTCTCACGTCTCTCTTAGCCCTGTCTTCGTGTTCTTATTCGGTGCAGAAATGTCGAAGAGGAATCCGGACGACAACCAGTTGTACAGCTCTCCCGGTAGGTTACTAGCACGATGCGCGTTGGGAGAAAAAGTGTGTGGCTTTACAACAAAAAAACAACTTGTGGCCGAGCGTTGCCCTATGTGCTCGTTTAGTGTTATAAGGCGATGTTGATCATTAGAGTTGACATCTCACTTTTGCATACAGTGTACGACGTTTACTACTAATGCGTTGTGTAATTTAAATCTAGTATTTTGTATTCTCAAACAGACAAAAAAAGTGGTTGCCTTTATTGTTCATTGTCATCGTCCGAAACACTTCCTGATACATTTTAGTTGATAACGTTTGGCGTCTTAACAGCAACGGCGATATACATTATCAGTACTCCATTGCCAGTAGCAAGATATAGTAATAGGTTTTTACCCTTTTATCTGGTACCAAAACTGACACCTTTATACAAGGGGATCATGTTTGCAATAACCACAACACAAGCAGTCAAAATGCAAACAAAAAAGAGAACTCTGATAATGATATTCATTACGGCCTTGATTTCATGACATGCATATAATTATCAGAGTTCTCTTTTTGTTTGCATTTTGAATACATGTGTTGTGGTTATTGCAAACATGATCCCCTTGTATAAAGGTGTCAGTTTTGGTGCCAGATAAAAGGGTAAAACACAATTACTATAGCAACGGCGATGGTTATGCATTCGCGTCCATCCGTAAGCGCCTGTGCGGTGAGCGGTGACAGTCGTGGGCTGAATCGTGAGCGCTGCGTCGAGCGAGTGCTGAATGGAAAGCCGCTCTATCTTGAATATCGTGGAATCATCATTGATGCAACTTTTGCGATGCAAGTCGGTGCATGGTAAAATTGGTTTTACATCGGAATCCCACCGCCTAAATTAGTAGGGTCGGTAAATATGCATGGAGTGGCAATGTAAATTGAGTGGTTATAGCTTCAGTTGCCTTTTGTTCATACGTAGATGACAGGTGAGTGTGAAAAGTGTTAGGTATCAGATGAACGTTCGGTGGCCAGGTGTGTCCGTGAGGAGGGCAGATGAACGACGCTCACAACAAAGAGTGGAGCGCCGGGCGGATAAAAAGCAGCAAGTTAACGCAGTAGGGGGCAACATCTTGCAAAATCGTCTCAGTCAACCCATGGCGCCTTGGAGTCTGTTCCCGAGACCTGTCAGCAGAGAACCTTGGACACTTATCGTGGCCTCAAAGTGCACCTAGCCTGTCACAAGCCCGCCGTGGGGACGTCACCGACACTTAGCGACCAATGGTGGTTGTTGCTGTGTTAAGGCACATAGTGACAGGACAAGCTTGTACATTTTAAAGTGTGTGTACACATCGTTTGCGTTCCAACCTTTGGGTGTTATCTCCTCGTGCATATACTGTGCTGGTGTGTTTTCTTACTGCACCTTGCATACATCTGCTCATCTAACTTTGTTAAATGTATAAAAGGGGCTGCACAACTCCCATTTACCTGTCGTCCCGTTCTCTGATAATTGGAAGTGTTATTATTTGTCTGCTCAAGGTTAAAGTGGAGCAATCTGTGTGTATTTTCAGATCCTTCCAGCAGTGGAGTCGGTTGCTGTGGTTACCTGTTAATCGGACTTTCTTACTTTTTGATACTCATCACATTCCCAATAAGCATATGGATGTGTTTCAAGGTAAGCTATTTAAATGACATACAACCCATGGATACAGTGTTTAAGTACCGTATACATTTCATTTAAAACATTGAGCATCGCATGTGAGCTTTCATTTGGCTGCATTTTGTATGAAGCTTGGATTCATCAACTTGTGTAGAGTTTACAGTATAGAATAGGGGGCACAGTCCAAGCGGTTGCATATTAAGACAAACCAGTGGTTCACCTAATCTGTTTATTCAAACTAAGTACAGGACCAGTTTTCATCCAGACGTATGGGGAAGAGGCAGGTTTTAAACATTGTGCAAAAACTTATATTTACAGAAAACATTGCAACACATCTTAACTACTCTTGAATCTTACACGACTACACACATGGTGGCCTTGGAAAAATTACCACGTTCGTGTTTTGTGTTTTTCCTCTTTCTATCTTCATCAGATAGTGCAAGAATATGAAAGAGCTGTCATCTTCACACTAGGACGAATCAAACCAGGAGGTGCTAAAGGCCCAGGTAAATATTTTCATTATGACAGAGCAGAGTTTCTTGTTCTGTAAAGTCACAATTTTTCAGCTTGTTACATTTTCTTTGTCAGTGACATGTAATGGTGTATATTACACCGTATGTGGATGTGCACAGGTCTTTTTTGGATAGTACCTTGCACAGACAACTTCGTGAAGGTGGACATGAGGACAGTCAACTTTGACATCCCTCCTCAAGAGGTAAGGTGGTCTATGTGGACATGTTGTCAATCCACCGCTGGATGAGGGCTTACACCATATGGTTCATGGGGGTTGTTTGACCATACTTCAACATGCTGGTCATTTTGGGTTGGTGAAGGCGGGAATCATATATGTGCGAGCATGTAAATACATTACAATGGATTTTGCAGCACTGGCCTGCTGCCCACAATGCAGCTTCACAGTAGCCTATAACACCCCACAGTAGCCTATGATTTGTGATCACGCATCCAGGTACTGTCCAGTATCAACTGAACTTAGCTTCCAAGATCTCATAAAAGCAGACTATGCCAGGTGAATTAGTCCGAGGTGGTGTATAATGTACTTCTATGGATAATACATTACACATAGTTTCATATATAAGTCTTGCCTATAGCAATGGGTTATCCATAATACACAGGTTTGTTTGGGTTATGGGTTACCTAGTGGGTTACCTAGTAGCTTTTAAAAGGCCAAACTCTGATGATGCAACTCGTGTTTAGTAACAAAAAAAATCGTTACAAATATTACCCTTTTTCAACTTTTAATTATTGACCATCTTTGTACCTCAAGTATAAACCATGTATGATTACTCACCCGTGTGCCCGTTTGCACCTCCTCACAGATTCTCACCAAGGACTCTGTGACGGTGAGTGTGGACGGCGTGGTGTACTACCGTGTACAGAACGCCATCCTGTCTGTGGCCAACATCACCAATGCCAACTCGGCCACACAGCTGCTTGCCCAGACAACGCTCCGCAATGTGCTGGGCACCAAGAACCTGGCCGAGATCCTGTCTGACCGGGAGGAGATCGCGCACACCATGCAGGTGGGTGTGCACAGATGCCTGTACAGTACTGTCGTGTTTTGACGAGAAGAAAAAATGTCTTAGGATTCGACGCCTCGCTTGCTCGAACTTGTATGGGCCGGGATGAGTCACCCCCGTTCACGACTCAAACAAAGCGCCGTTCCTCAGTCTGCCTGTAGATCTCGTTCAGTGCACAACCCTTGCTATATTTTTATTTCAATTCATTTAAATTTATTTATGCATTAATTTTAATGTATGTATGCATTTTAGTAATAAGTAGTGTCTAAATTATGTTATACAACCCCCATTAATGTATAATATGCCATATAAAATATAATTTCTTATACTCTGGAACGGATGATTTCCTTTCCTTTTATTTCTTATGGGAAAAATTCGTTTGGTATTCGTCAGTTTCGGTATAAGTCCTCCTACCTTCTGGAACGAATTAACGACGTATACCGAGGTACCACTTTACTTTGTTTACTGTGGAGTAATTTTTTCAACTGCGCAAGCTTTAGGAATGGGCAAGTGAAGACGTGCAATTTGTAAACTGGAATTAAATTTCATCATCAAAGCTTTTTGGGTGAGATCTCGCAAATATAAATGCATGGTTAACCCACCACCACCCGACACAGCCAATTAGTAAGCTTTGTCACGTAAAACAAATTATTATGAATAATATTGGTCGTGGAAGCCGATGCGTTAAACTGTAGTGAAATTGTAACTAAAATAACAATGGGGGTTGTGAGGATGGTACCTTGCCCAAGGTGTCAGCATGCCAAGCTTTCCTCTGCTCCCAAGTGCAGGCGCGGTTTACGGCGATCAGAATGACAATAATACATATTTATGACGTTTGCATAATGCCACCACGGATCGTTTACGATGCTGAAACTTGATTTAAAGCGTATTTTCCAAGACATGACTCCGAACGCATTTGAACAGTCAGTCTGGTTTCCGATGTGCCTTGGTGTGGAGCTTTTGTTATTCTGAAGTGTTTTTGTGATTTTTTTTCTCCCATTAATCCTTGTTAAATATGGCTGATAAAAGGGAAAAAATCAGATGGCAAGTGATGTTTTTACTGTTCCTACTGTCTTTGGGAAAGTAGGGTCCGATTTACGACGTTTCTATTTACGACGGTGTTGCCAGGAACGCATTGTGTCGTAAAAGCAGGGACCGCCTGTAGCTTTAATTAATTCCACCTCAGCAAACCATTAGTTACTGCTGATACTAACGTTGCATGTCTCTGTGTTAATGTTATATCGTTGTTTGCTCGTCTTAAGAACTGTACATGCTAGTGCCGTTTGGTTCTTCAGTGCTGTTTAGGGCCATATGGTGAAACATTGCGCATTGCCATGCTGTGGTTTCTTTGGTTTTGCAGCTCACACTGGACGAAGCTACAGACAACTGGGGAATCAAGTTGGAGAGAGTGGACATCAAGGACGTCAAGTTGCCCCAGCAGCTCCAGCGGGCCATGGCAGCTGAGGCTGAGGCAACACGAGAGGCTAGAGCCAAGGTTTGTGCGTCTTTGTGAAAATGTTTATTACGATAAAAAAAACAATTATCCTGTGTGCAACAGATGAACAAGAATGTCATCTTGCTTCGCAACGCATGCCTGGTTTCTTGTTATATTTTATTTTAAAGAAACCTTTTTGAAAAGACGACCCTTGCGACTGGTGCATAGCCGATGATCAAATATGCAGTGTATCTTCAGTGAGCCTACAGGATTCGTAAATGTTGCGAATAACCGAGAAGTGGTGGAAGATTTAGCTTTAATTCAGTCTTCCAATGTCTTGGCTTGGCAATGTGAAAATCCTGTTATGTAATCGAGCACCGCCCTACTTGATTTCAGCACTAGCCCTACAGTTAGCAGAAACACACCTTAGTGGTTACAGTGTCTTGCACTTTGGCTGGGTTGCCATGAGTTACAGTCAGCATACTGTGCTTAAATACAAATGATGAAGATTATATTTTATAATCAAGCACCCCAACAAAATAGCAAAATGAAAAAAAAACAGCATGTAATAAGTAAATACTTTATGATGCTGAAAAAATGTAAGTGTACATTTTGATTACTGAGTCCTCATCCCAACATGCATACATTGTTTGCATTTTCATCAGAGCTAAAGCTTCTGTGTGGTAACCCACCCCGATGCCACTCGCTGCAGGTGATTTCAGCGGAGGGAGAGATGAACGCATCGCGGGCACTCAAGGAGGCGGCCCAGGTAATGGGGGAGGCCCCAGCAGCCATGCAGCTCCGCTACCTGCAGACCCTCAATACCATTGCTGCCGAGAGGAACTCCACCATCATATTCCCACTGCCCATGGACCTGCTGCAGGGCATGGGGGCATCATGGAAGAAATGAGCCTTGCATCGAGGTCCCAGGGAGTGACACCTTGAGCATTATTGTCAACCCTACCAATTTGAGTAGTAGGCTTCCGAGTTTTAATATCTTGCTACTGCATACCGATGGTCAAAATTGATCATATCCATCCTGAAACAATTTTTTTTTACAAATCTCTGCTTTGAAAATCGATTGGCATCCAGTAAAACGGTTTAAGAATGTAAACCTTCCACTTAATTTGGTAGGGCTGGCAAGTATGCCCCGAGGTCGTAATCAGCATTCAACAAATTAAGTGGCTGTGTGTTGACTTGGAGTCAACGTTACAATGCATTGATTCATAAATAAATATTGATTCTTACGCTATAATACGTATGTCGATTAATAACTATTTTTGTGTGTACATTTTTAATTAAACGCATGTGAACCCTGAAGCTGCTAGAAGTAGTTCCATTGACAATGTTAAATACATATTTTGTTGAGTTGTGATAAATTACATTCCTAATGCTTATTGTTGGGGTTATGTTGGTACAGGAAGGTGTGTGTAATTTTTATATAAAAGTAACAATATCATACTAATACAGACACTTCGAATTTTACGTTTTGTTTTGTAACAAAGTTTATCTGTCAGCATATATTACATCTATATTATACATAGTTTTTTTCTGATTAAATATAAACAATGAAACTGCTGAGTCGTTGTTAGACTTTTTAGGTGAAACTAGCTGAGATGGAAAGGACAACGCTGCTGGATGACTAGTGTAATGTGCTAAGTTCCAGAGTCCCGCCACTGGCCCAGAGTCCCACCACTGACCCAGAGTCCCACCACTGGCCCACAGTCCCACCAGTGGCCCAGAGTCCCACCACTGGCCCAGAGTCCCGCCACTGGCCCAGAGTCCCACCACTGGCCCACAGTCCCACCACTGACCCAGAGTCCCACCACTGGCCCAGAGTCCCACCACTGACCCAGAGTCCCACCACTGGTCCAGAGTCCCACCACTGGCCCACAGTCCCACCACTGTCCCAGAGTCCCACCACTGTCCCAGAGTCCCACCACTGGTCCAGAGTCCCACCACTGGCCCAGAGTCCCACCACTGGCCCGCACAGCGTCCCGGCCCTTACAAGGACAGCGGAGCGAGGGGGTCCAGGGTCCTAAGCTGGCTGCTGGTCTTGATTCTTCGGCTGCGACTGGTCCCGAGCTTCTCGGGAGGTCCCCTTTTATGCCCCTCACCCATCGAGGGGCGAGGGCTGCGTGGGATCCCAGATCCCCCGCAGCCCCCACCCCTCCTACGCCGAGGGGCGGGGCTGCGTGGGATCCTGGGACACCCCGCAGCCCCCTCCCACTGGGAGGGCAACGCGGCGACTCCCCTGCCGGTACAAGGTGCCGCCCGCAGATGGGCCCCGTCCACCACTGCCGGTGAGTGCGGCCCATCTACGGCACTACACATCATCCACATGATACGATTACGCAGCATTACCCATCTATGGCATGCTTTTACTGTGGTAAACATGCTCTTTATTTTTCATCTGCACAAATTCACATGATGGAAATATACATAAATCTCGCCATATTAAATTTGTGAGTGCATCCATAAATTCAAATTTACGGTTTAATAAAAAAAACAATACACGGTTACAGTAAGCTTCAAAATATAGTGCATTGTACATTCGTGTATATATTGCTTTTTATCATTGTTATAACTAGTCTGCATGACACTTTAGCCGAGACGAGGTGATAGTGAAGAGCATTACAGTATACAGTATATTCTTGGTTCTTTCGGTAAAGTCACGTAGAAGGGATAATAAAATAATAAATATATAATATATATCTTTTTTTTGTTTCCCTTCTACGTGACTTTACCGAAAGAACCAAGAATATGAATCCCTCCAGTCACGAAAGCTTTAAATCAAAAGTATACAGTATAGTCTGAAATGTCGTGGCACCAAAATATATAGTGAAAATTAATTCCATGTTTTGTAAAACCAAGTTTTTAACATTAATGTATGACTGCTGTGCATGAGACTTAAGTGCACTTTAAGCTTTGTAGTAAGTTCGTAACGGTTAAATCCGTTACGAACTTACTTCACGGGATTTTCCAGCCCTAACCGCTATGTGAAAGTACTGTAAGGGTATTGTAACCATAATGATAATATTTGTCAACACACATTGGGCATGGCTCATGGAGCCCGCCAATGGGATGGCATGTGAACCGCACTGTATGGGGGTGCTTATGCCAATTATGAATATCAAGATGTATTTTGAACGTTCGCACCGCACATAGCCAACCGTGGTAATCGGAGGTGCAAGATGACTGAAGCCAACACACTATGCACATGTGAAAAGGCTCACTGTTAGTAAATATAAATGACCCTGGTCAGGACATATAGCTAGAAAGGATGGCCGATGGATAAACTGTTGACAAAATGACAACTAAAAATAGAGAGCCACTGTAGAGGTCCTGTCCTGGAGGGAGACATTGTGATATCAAAGGACCATGGAGGATGGCGACAGCGTGAGATGGCCTTCATTCAACAGTACATTGACCATGGCTGTTCATGATGAGCATGTCGATGTGCTTGTGTCGACATATACAACTGCATGTGAAAAGGCTGATCAAGACTGGAGGTGACAAGACGAAAAAGCGCACTTAACCACAATTATAAAATGTTTCAATGCAAACAGGTTTTAAGTAAGCAGCTATCTAATAAATGCAAATATAGTAAATATCTGGCCATTCACCAGATTTGACTCGAGCAAGGGTGACGAATGAGATGCTGTATGTCTAAACTAGTCAAAGTATCATAAACGACTTCCACGACGATCATTGATAGAATTCCTGCACAGCTCACAACCGCTCTCAACCGTATGTTTCCCTTCTCTCTACGGCCGGGGATGAGCCGTTCTCTCTGTTTTCCGCGGCTGAGGTTCGCCTCTCACTCCCCAATCCCTCCGCTGGCTGGCGGCGTGCCGGGAGGAGAGGCTTCTGCAGCGACGCAGTCCGGACTCTAGGCTTCACACACCGACCTCGAGTCCTCCCCTGCCTCTGCTGATAGTCCTCTCGGCGGAGCTAAGCTCCGCCTCTAGCCACGCCCCCTCGTGAAACCTTCCCGATGGTTCCCGCACGTTCCCCTTTGACTCCGCCCATTACCCTTGGCCCAGATATATCCCCGCTTGGGATTGGATACCCGTTACCCGGTGGTGGCCGTGCGGTTACCCCTTGCCACCCAATAGATGGTGCTCTCTCATTACAAAAGGATTGCGTGTACTGAATTCAGCTGACGTTAATGCATACCCAGAAGGCCATTGGGTAAATGGGTTGTGTACTTAAATGTTTTAATGTAGAGATATAGATATATGAATAAAACATTATTTGCTTATCGATTTTGTTATTTATATACTCTACAACAATCCTAATGATTACTTTGTGAAAAATAAAATAGAGATTTGCAAAATGCCATACTCAGTCCACTGACAACAAACCCTGTATAGGGCACGGGGGAGCTAGTGAATTAATTAGGTGTTTTTGTATTCTTATTGTGGACGCGACTCCACCCCAAACAACTATCGTGCCACTGTCCATACCCGATGTCAAGATAATTCCTTTTTGGATATCCTTGTGAACCAACAGTGCATTTTACTCCTTATGGCTAGCCATCGAACAAAGACGGTCACTGCATCGCGCACTTTCAGATGCACTTCTTCGACCTTCTATAACGCTCTTCCGATAATAGAAAGTCACAGGAGCTATGCACTTTTAAATCTAGATTGAAAACTCATTTCTCGAGAACTGCTTTTTGTTTCGTTTTTTGTCCTTACCCCGCACCCGCGATTAGCAAAGGTTGGCTACGTATGGTGCGAAAAAAGTTCAACATAAATACACCACCTCCATCTTCACGCTGTACACCATGTGATCCTCCAAGAGTCCCTGCAGTCTCTCCTATTCTGCTTCTCACAAGTCCACATTGGCTCCACGTGGCACTGGTGTCATATGGCTGTCACCACCTGATATCCTTGTCACATGTTTTTTCCAAATGATGCCATCATCAACTTTTATTTTCAGCTTGGCTCCTACATCAATTATGAAAAGGCAAATTATAGTCTATTATTGTGTACAAAATATGTTCAGGAGCTAAATGCCAAAGCGGAGGTCTGATAGCCCCACGAGAGGGCCCCAGGAGAGAGTGTGGTGCCACGACAACGAAGCCGCTCCGTGAGAGCCGTGCCTGCAACGGGGGTGCTGCGACAGAGAAGCCACCAGGCTGCCGTCACAGCGTTTCCCCTGCCACCCCCCACATAAACACACACACACACTCACGTAGGGCCTCGTGTGGAGGGGGCACCTGCCCTGAGTTTTTACCCGAGAGACCCCCTCGTGGGGGTTCTCCACGGTTTCTCAGGGCCAGGGAATTGGCAGCCCCCCCCCCCCCCAGGCCGAATGACACTGCGGCGCCGTGGCTTAACTTAGAATTAAATGACCACGGCGAACTCACTCAGAACCGCAGTGAGGAAATGCCCAAGACACACACAGACCAGCAGACAGGTGGGGAGCGGGTTAAACGTCTCTACCTGTGATGCACCGCGGGTTAGTGCCTCTACCCATGATGCACCACGGATTAACGTCTCTACCCGTGATGCACCGCGGTTTAACGGCTATGATGCGGCACCGGCTCGCTTATTAAGTTGGCAGTACACTTGGTTAAAGAATGGGGGGCGGGGCGTCGGAGAGGGGGGATGACCCGATTGACCAAGACTGTTAGCTTTGATGTAAGAGGATAAAAGGGGGCCAGTAAGGAGAAGGGGTCTTTTGATTCTCTTTGTGCTGGGAGTCAACTGGAGAGGGTGATCGAGGAGTAGCTCCCTGCCTCTTGAACGTCCACGTGGCGAGTCAGAGGGCAGCCGAGTCCAGTCTTCCCAGCCAAAGCCACGTGCAAGCCTCGCCTATCCGCGGCTCCCTACCCCTCGAAGTTGGAGTGTAAGTATAGAGAGAAGAGGTAAGTCTGAGGATAAAACCCCGTAGAAGGGGAGTAGGGAGAGACTAGGCAAATTGAGCCCTACACAGTAGAGAGATAGGTTAGATCTGTCCTGCTGGTCTACACTGACACGGGTAGATTAACTCTAATTAAATAGAGAATAAAGTACCAGTAGACACTAATCCGTGTCGTGTGGTTTCTGTGTTTGCGCACGGGTGTGTAATTTCACCCACGTGTGCGCGCTTCCCGCGCACGTTAACTTGTGAGCCTGTGGGTCGTGTGGTGTCTTGTTTTTTTCGCACGAGTGTGTACTTTGCCCACGCGTGTGAGCTCGTCCCGTTGGGTTGCGAGCCCGCGCGCTGTGGTTTCTTTGTTTGCGCACGGGTGTGCCATTCTACTACCGACGTGTGGGTGCTAGCCGCGACACGTTAACCCGTGAGCCCGTGCGCTGTGGTTTCTGTGTTTACGCACGGGTGTGTAATTTCACCCACGTGTGCGCGCTTGCCGCGGCACGTTAACCCGTGAGCCTGCGTAGTTCGCTGTGATTATAAAGTGGGTAGTATCGACATTTGAATCATACTTCTGCGAGGAGCAGGGGAGAGCGGGGGGGGGTACAGGAGAATGAGGAATCGAGGGGCAGCAGCCCTAATCATTTGCCAGCAGGGTAGAGCGGTGGGTCACAGGAGAACGGGGAGGTGGGGGGCAGCCTCCTTAAGAGCC